ACATAACAAAAGAGACCTATCAGAGATAGCAAAAACATTAGGCATGGCCAAAACAACAGCTTGGAACATTCTCAAAAAGAAGGAACGCACCGGTGAGCTCAGCAACACCAAAAGACCCGGAAGACCACAGAAAAAACTGTGGTGGATGACCGAAGAATCCTTTCCCTGGTGAAGAAAACACCCTTCACAACAGCTGGCCAGATCAAGAACACTCTCCAGGAGGTAGGTGTATCTGTGTCAAAGTCAACAATCAAGAGAAGACTCCACCAGTGTGAATACAGAGGGTTCACCACAAGATGTAAACCATTGGTGAGCCCCCAAAACAGGAAGGCCAGATTAGAGTTTGCAGAACAACATCTAAAAAAGCCTTCACAGTTCTGGAACAACATCCTATGGACGGATGAGACCAAGATCAACTTGTACCAGAGTGATGGGAAGAGAAGAGCATGGAGACAGAAAGGAACTGCTCATGATCCTGAGCATACCACCTCATCAGTGAAGCATGGTGCTGGAAGTGTCATGGCGTGGGCATGTACAGCTGCCAGTGGAACTAGTTCTCTTGTATTTATTGATGATGTGACTGCTGACAAAAGCAGCACGATGGATTCCGAAGTGTTTTGGGAAATATTGTCCGCTCATATTCAGCCAAACACCTCAGAACTCATTGCACAGCGCTTCACAGTGCAGATGGACAATGACCCAAAGCATACTGCAAAAGCAACCAAAGAGTTGTTGAAGGGAAAGAAGTGGACTGTTTTGCAATGGCCAAGTCAATCACCTGACCTGAATCCGATTGAGCATGCATTTCACTTGCTGAAGACAAAACTGAAGGGAAAATGCCCCAGGAACAAGCAGGAACTGAAGACTGATGCAGTAGAGGCCTGGCAGAGCATCACCAGGGATGAAACCCAACGTCTGGTGATGTCTATGTGTTCCAGACTTCAAAGGATTTGCAACCAAGTATTGAAATGTATAAGTTTGATTTATGGTTCTTATTCTGTCCCATTACTTTTGGTCCCTTAACAAGTGGGAGGCACATATACAAACTGTTGTAATTCCTACATCGTTCACCTGATTTGGATGTAAATACCCTCAAATACAAGCTGATAGTCTGCAGTTAAAGCACATCTTGGTCGTTTCATTTGATATCCATTGTGGTGGTGTGTAGAGCCAAAAATGTTAGCATTGTGTCGATGTCCCAATATTTAAGGACCTGAGTGTGGCTTATCAGAAACAAAAAGTTGATTTGGGGGTGACTTGCTTTTTAAATGTTTTAATAGCTCTAACATCAGGGCCAGTGTCTGATAATCAAGCTCGACACAAACATGGTGGACGAGAAGCAATAAACAGAAATTGACTTTAAGATTAATAAATTCTCCAAAAAATATCATCTTTACACTTCCTCAGCTTGCATTGACAAAGCTCCTCAGTTTAAGACTAATGAGCAAAACTGATGCAGCCAAAGGTAATAAAGCTCTCTCTCTCTCTCTTCAGATCCACTGTAAGCAGGGAGGCTCATTACAACCAGAACTCTGCCATCTCAAATTAGTTTTAAATCCAGTCTGACTCCAATTACACAAGTGCTTTACAATTATATAAGGTTATTTAATTAAGGGCAAACTAGATCACAAAAGCCTCAACATTGAACTTATTTCACTTCCAGAACTTCCCACCAGGATATTAGCATGTTAGCATGTTCCCCCATGCATGTGAGCATCCCATAACATTTTATTTATATAGCGCATTTAAACACAGCATATGAGCTGACTAAAGCACTGCACAAATAACAATAAAAAGGTAATTTAAAACTGTTAAAAACAGCATAAAATACAGGTAAAAACAACCAAAAAGCAATACAAAAAAAGGGGGGGGGGGGGGGGTGATAACTTAAAAGAACACTTCAATTTCCTCCTACAGAACAAAAACATGCTTATTAGGATTATTACCTGAATTTCTCTGTCTACGTTTGCACTTTAGATAACACTCTACTAAATAAACCAACATGATTTAGAGAAAATGATCACAAATGTTATGTTAGAAATAGAACCATTTATCTAGTCAATGGAACAGTGGCAAGACCGAGTTTACAGTTTTTTCAACACCTGCACTGGTCTCTAGTATAAATGAATGCCTTTTGAGTCGACCTAAGCGGGATGAAAGTTCTGGCGCGCTGGTTTCAGGAACTAGAAGTGAGCCAGAGGAAGAGAGGAATAGAACACTGCAGGATTTGGAGCCGTATTTGCTAATATTCAAACATCTCTCCTCTGATTGGCTAACAGGAACACGACTCTACTACTGTTTGCTCTGCAACGTTGATGTTTTATCTCTACAAATAACATAAGCCTGAAGGAGTTCTGCTGTGTGGTGGAGTTGCTAATGCTAAACAGCTAGCTTCTATTAGACGAGACATTCTCTGCTGTTTCTTGGATGCTGAACCGACAACAGCCTTCTCCGTCGCCAGCCAAGATGGGTGAGTCCGTAAATGCTAATTTATAGTGTGATGTAGGTCCGACTTTCCTAATCCGAGCTTCACCCCATCTATTTTCTATCGGCGGCTAATACAGAAAATATAGGCAGAAGATAATTTTCTCAGTGAACTTGGTCTATATATATACCTTATTTTCCGGACTACAAGCCGCTATTTTTTTCCAAAGCTTTGAACCATGCGGCTTATAATGAGGTGCGGCTTTACAGAAGATTTTCTGTCACCTGCCAGGGGGCGCTTTAGCAGAAAGTGAAACAGGTGGAAGTCAAAAGTGGAAATCGAAGAAAGTGCTCATATTAATTTAGCACATGCAAGCAGCCGGCACGACGAAGAATCATTTTCAAATCCATACCCCCTCATCATGGTAACTACACGTATGAGTTCATCTGATGCCGCATTTAAGTTGAAGGCCATCGATCTGGCAGTAAAGGAGGGAAACACTGCTGCCGCACGTAAGCTTGGCATGAATGAATCCATGGTTCGGAGCTGAAGACGGCAGCGGGAAGAACTCATTCAAGCCATCTTCTCCCCGGGATGATGACAGCAACACAGACAGCAACGCCACAGAAGAGGTATGTGACCAAGCTCTTCAGAGGCTGCTCAACTCCGACACCGAAGATGACTTCAGTGGTTTCAGTGGGCAGGAGGACGATGAATAAACCAATAACTTTTCTGTTTTGTTTGATACTGATCAGTTCAGTTAAACTACGTTTTCAGGTCAGTAGATATCTCAGCTTTTTGCCCGGTGTAGGTGCGGCTTATATTGAGGTGCGCTCTATAGTCCGGAAATTACAGTGTGTGTGTGTGTATATATATATATATATATATATATATATATATATATATATATATATATATATATATATATATATATATATATATATATATATATATATATATATATATATATATATATATATATATATATATATATATATATATATATATATATATACACACACACACACACACACACATACATATATATATATATATATATATATATATATATACATATATATATATACATATATATATATATATATATATATATATATATATATATATATATATATATGTATAGGGAGGCTTCCTACTTTTACAGCCTCTTATCTTGCTTGTTTCATGTATTGTGTCAAAAACATTTTACAGCTAATAATAAATATACTTATAATACACACTTCACATGAAACCCACACTGGTTCGGCCCCTCTGGTACTCGTGTCTGACTGATCTCAACCTCTCATGTCATGTAATAACTAGTAACAAAGAGGTGTTTCTGAAGTTCTGGATGAACCTAAACGGGTTAATTTGAAAAACTAGACAAAATTCACTGAAACCTTTACATTTTTTTCTCCAACATGCACACTGGCAGCAAATATAATGTATTTATTTTATTTTAAGAGGTGTATTTGTAGTCCCACTGTCTTTGTGTGTAAAACAACAACAACAACACACACACACACACACACACACACACACACTGCACAAAAGCTTGGTTTATGCTTGACACATTTACTTTCCACTTGGTGATGCGGCTCGCGGATGGAACGCGCTTCACAACTTGCAGCGTTTACAGTTCATGCGGCTTGTCTCTGCGGTGAGCCAATATTCTCCCAAACTGTAGGGGGCAGCATGGAGCTCTACGGCATGCATCCAACACTACACCATAGTAGAAGTAAAAATTACTGTTGTTTACAACATGGCATTCCAGCATTTTTTTAACGGCGTCCTCTTCTTTTCCGACAGTGCGAGCTATTTCTCTCCAAGAATTATTAACAACATGTTGATCACGGTGATCTCTGAGAGCTGAATCATGCAAATGTCTGTATTTAAGAACCTCTGCCATACTAGTTCTTGCTGGTCCGCCATGTTTTTCCATGTCCGCCCGTCTGCGTGGTTAGAAATTTTCCTAGGTGCGCGTTGCGGAAATTTTGGGCCGTGCGCAGGCGCGGAGGAGGGGCGTGGTTGTTAAAATGACGCAATTTCGCCACGCGGAGCCATGCGGACCTCGCGGACGTGTCAAGCATAAGCCAACTTTAAGCACGACTAAAGATTTACTGCATTTTAAGCCTGTTTGCTAACAACCAGGCAGCTACTTTCATTAACAGAGGTAATTAACCAAGAAGAAAGATAATGATTTCAGGTATAACTCGTCCTCATGGTGGCCACAGCGCCTGCTCTTTAACTGAATCAGGCAATGACAAAGGATCATTTCCGTACCGGTAAGGCAAATCTGAACCTGCTCAATCACAACACAAAGCACTGATATTGCACTCTATTACTGGTGACGGGCTGCAGAGGCACACAGTATGGCCTGTGTATCAGACTACTTTATGAGCGTCCTGGTCAGTTGGGCAGAGTGCTGAGCTGTGTGAGATTTAGGAAAGCCGGCTAAAACAAAGGCTGTCAGAGAGGCTGATTAGTTAGAACACTTGTGTCCTGAATGCTGAGAAGGAGCTTAGGCCAAAGAAGAAAAAGAAAAAAGGGAGGAAATACTATTCCTCACACGTACCTCCAGCTTCTTGCCTTCTTCGTCATAGACAGACATGGTCACCTCGACATTTTTGGGTGTCGTCTTACTCCCCTTGTCGAAATCCCCCTGAACCAGAGTCACATAGATGTCGTTTCGCACATCACCTTTAGAAGAAAATCAAGAGACCATTACTGCTGTTGGGATGTTTAAAGCATGTGTCCTTGTGTGCAGATTCTGTTATCTGGACAATAACAAAGGCTTAAACTTCACCTGGCATAATTATCTCAGGAAAGCCCATCTTTCGAGCCACAGCTGTCGATCGATCCACCAGGTGAGGGAAGTCCTTCCTTATCTGATGGATGTCTCCGGGAAGCCGCTTCAGAGTCACCCACAGGCCTGGTGATGCAATCAAGAGCAACAAGAACCGAGATAACATAATAAGAGGACAGCACAAAGAAAGCAGGGCCTAAGGAAAACACTAAAAACAGATTTCGTCCAGTGATTTCCACTGGCAGTTGTCAGAGTGACATGTAGCGGCTCTGGGGCGAGACGCCAAATAGAATCTACCAGAAGGGATTTGATTAGGAAAGTATAATAACACAAAGGCAATTTGTGCTCCTTTAAGACTTTCTGTGCAACAAGGTGAGTGTATAACCTAAGCGAAGGGTTTTATATTTTCCCCCAACTGGCGATTCTTTATTCACTTTCATTTTGCTGTTTTGTTATGAGTAGCACATCCCCTGCAAGCCAAGCTGGAGGCCTTTGATATGTGAGCCGACTGAAACAGCGGCTCTCACTACTTCGTCTAATGCCCCAGCGTGGGTCGGAGCAGACCTGACATTTATCCAAGTACATCTTCATTGAGCATGACAATACCACAGAGATGGTGACACGGTGCCTCCGCCTCCTAGCAGCACAACTCTCAGAGATGACCAAGGACCGCTCTTCTACGCATTAAATTATTAATGACAACTTGCGTGTTAAAAAGATTCACCGGTTTACAGACAAATAGCTGAGCCACTGTAGTCATGGAAACATGAAATAAGCTC